GTTCAGACTTAAGCAGTATGTCTCCACTTGGAAATCAGCTATTATTCTGAAGAGGCTATCTATCAGGAAAAAAAAAAAAAAAGAAAAGAAAGGAAAAAAGGAATAAACAGGCAATTTACACTACAAAAACCCAATGGAGGAAAAAGCAAAAATCCATTATTTATGACAACAGTTATTCACATCTCTGAATTATTTACTTTTTCAGTTTGTGTAATATAGGTGCCAAATGTGAATATAAATTTTTATTTCAGAGTTTCTTTGAATGTTTCATGCATGAAACAATACTGTGCTTGTTTACACTAAATTTGGGAGTAAGCTCTTGCTTTAAATTTTCTTCTTTTCTGAGACAATAATTTCATTTTGGAGGGAAATAAGCAATATTGTCTGCTGAAAATAATTTATTTTTTTAATTTTTACTTATTTGGAGGGGATTTGGTTAATTAATCTCAGGTTTGCACTTTAAGGACTCAATGTAATGGAAACTTATTTTTTTGGTTAGTACTGGGTTGATGAGAGCACGGGGTTGCTAAGTTACATGTCAGGGTCCTTCAGATGGTGGTGGTGGAACCAGCTCTGCCCCTCAGGTGAGGATCCTTCATGATCCAGTCTTGGACTGTCCCCTGAGGGTGGCTCAGGCTCCCAGTGTAAGCAGTTTGTGGTGCTGCTCTGCAGGAGCCACCAGCAGAGCAGAAAAGCTCTGAAAAGCCCGGTCAGAGCCACATGGGCTGGGGCAGCGTGCTGAGTGCTGGAATGGGGAATCCCTGCAGATATCCACCCGTGGGACCAGCAGCTGATGGGGCTGGGGCTGCTCAGAGAGTTACATGGGGAAGGCGCCCCACAGGATGTGAGGAGAGAAACTCTGTGTGTGCATGTGGGGGGACTCAAAGAGGGAATCAGAGAGACCCAACCAGTGCTGTGCACCATGAGGTGGAGACTGCTCTGCTGACCTGCCCAGACTTCTTCCTGGAGAGCAGCATCACTGCCACTGCCCCAGAGCGGTAGTGTCACTCATAATATTTCATATAGCTCTGATTAAAATTTCCAGGTAACTTGGCCCATTTATTCTGCACACTGTGAAACTGGCCTTATGCTGTGACAGTCTTTGAGTATAGGGTCTGTTTTCCTGTTATCTTGAAGCGGAAAAAAAATTTTTCTTAATATGATCGCTTAACAAAAGAGTTGAGATAAAGAATCGAGTAGAAGAAAATTATAAGTGAGGCCCCAGAAAATGGACCTAATCTTGTAACATTTGTACACCCCTGAAAGAGTGCATATGAAAAGCCAAGCAATCATCACAGTTTATCTCTATGTGACATTTCCAAATGCTATTTATACATTTTCTGGGTCAGTCTTTTATGAAAATAGCCATGTATGCCAGCTATCTAATGACCTGGCATTTGAAACCAATTCAATTTATATGTTAAATTTGATGTTAGGGGAAAACCAATACACTTACCACATTTTCGTTCTGTAAGACTAGTTGTCGTCTTAATTTGTCTGGAAACATCTTTTTATTTTCCAGGAGTATCTCATGAGATATAAAGTAACATAAATCATTCTAGCTCTTCTACTACTGGGAATAATTGTTAAGGGTAAATTTTGGCCTAGTCAATATACATCACAGTGACACATAAAAACAGCACCAGCAATGCCCTTAATATTCTCCAACAACTATCTGCATCTCATGGAGGAGTGAGAAATCAGCCGTTCAAAGTTGAACTGGGCAGTAACTGAATGCATCATTTTCTTCTGATTTTTTAGCAAAGATGAAAGGTGTATATCCTACTCACCATTCTGAAAAGGTTCTCTATAGGGAAAGGTCTGAGTAACCACAGTCTTTACATTTAACAGGCATTGTCTCTTTAAATCCCATTTTATTTTTGTAATCTTGGTAGTTAGAGAAAACTCATCACTTTGACTAAACCATCCAAATGGTAACAATGAAAAGCTTCAAACCTTCTTTATGCTGCATGGCAATGAGCACAGGGCATTTGAAATATTTTTAACATGACAATATGATCTATTATTGCTTAATATGCTTGTAAACCCAGTCTTTAACCAAAAATTTTTAAGCAAAACAAAACTTCAAGAACTTTAATTTTCTGCTTTATTCAAGACTGTCTAAAAGATCTGTAAAATACTGGAAGATTTTGTAGACCTATTTTGCAGACCTGGTTAGATTTTAATCACATTAAATACTGAAGATAATATTCAGTCACACAATTCAGTTATTTATTTGTTACTCATATTTTATAATTTATGCTACCAGAGTGTCTTTTGGCTTCCAAGGTGTCAAAATGATGTGTGAAAAGTGAAATGTTCAATGACATCTTCCGTTTCCTCTAATGTTTAGTTAACGATTTTAAAGTTGTAACAACTGTCGTTCCCTAGTTATAAAAAAATTACATACAGTGCCAACGTAAAAAAGAGTTGTCCCTCCACAAATTGAACATTGTATCAGAGTGCATGTGTTAGAGTTCTCCCTCAAGATAATCTTAGCAATCTTTAGGTATCGTATTTTTAATTCCAGTACTGTATTTGCAGATACAAAGTCTTTTACTGAGGTTTTACTTTCATTTCTTTTTTTTTTTTTTAATGATTTTATTGTAATTAAATATCCCTTTTTCCTTAATTATGTTTTCTTAAAAGGAGTTTGCTTTAACAGTTAGGTCAGTGGCCTGAGACTGAAAGATTCTAATGTAATACCAAGGTCTTTGCTATGTTTGTGTCTCTAATAGAAAGCCTGGGAGAAATGTTCTTTTGCAAACATTGTTAGCAGTTACATCTTGTTAGCAGCAGCAACTGCAATTTCTTCTGTGCTGCAGGCAATGCACATGCAGAGAAGAGACCTTGACACGTGTACCCAAAGCAGAATTATGTCCCCTGCTCCTGTCCCATGTGGTCCTGAGCCACATCAGCCTCCTCTGTAATGGATGTGTACCATGTCTGCTTAGCAGGGTCCATCATGGATAACCAGGATAACCAGGATAGCTGAGATGACCATAGACACTCTCTTGATTCATCCATTTGATTCATCCATTTGCAGAAACGAATGTGTTTTTGGATAAAGAAAATTGGAAGGACAGATAGGAAAACCATTGTGACACATCTCACTCCCTTTAGTATCAAAGGGGTTGGAAGACAGTTGAAATTGAAAAAAAGTTAAGGGACTGTGGTGGAACCTATCTCTATTGCCTGTGACTTTCAAAGTAAAAGGAAAATAATGTTTTTTACCTAAAAAGGATCTAATATTTTAAATCAGTATTATCGATTGTATTGTTAAATCTGCTGGCAAAATTATCTTATAAACTAAACTCATTTGAAAAATAGCCAAATATTTCTGATTAAGCTAAACAAGAAGATTCCAAGGATTGTTTTAGAAAACATGATGCAAAGACTATGCAATGGAAATTTCATCCAAAAGTATATACATATAAAGTATCAAATCAAATGAACCAAAGAACAATGATGAAAAGCAACAAGTAGAACAAACCACAGATATCATTAAAATATGCCTGTATAACATATAATAAATAGTTTTCTTTTTTCAACATCAAATTGTTCTGATACAGTCTGAAAATTACTTCATATCAGTAATTGTAAAACATTCTGACATATGAAAGAATTATATAGGATACTATGCATTTTTCAGTTTTGAATATAAAGTGTGCCTTATAATTCCATAGATTACCTTACACTGGATAAAAGAAGTTAAATTTTACTTCTAATTATGCCTGGCTTTCTCTAGTAGATTTGTGCCTTTGTTCTTTAATTTTAAACTACTTTTCTTAGAGTATTTTGTGAGCAAAGCCCTCTCTCATCCTCTCTCCACTACCTAAAAATAAGTCCAATAATAGATTTTTGTTGTCTAGCTCTTTCACTGATGCATTTTTTAGTCTGTAAAAATGCAAAAATCTGAACTCCAGGTCAGTCCTACATTCATTTTATGGAAGTGCTTGGTTCAACACCTCCAACAGAAAAATGCTGAATATTGAAATATATCTTCATAATTCCTAAAACTGAATCCATGGACCAATTTTTGCACCATAGTGCTCATTCATCCAGGTATAAATAAAAGCAGTATATCTGAGGTGCTTTTGCAACCACAACTGATTCTAAGTAACAGTCTATTAAAAATAATATTATAATCCAAAAGCTGTGTAATTCCCATCAGTTTCATAGCAAAGAAATTTGCAGAAATGAAGCTGACAGACACTCAGTATTTTAATAACAAATCAACAAGTATTACATATCTCTGGGCTATATTCTACTGGATGCTTTTTGGCTACAGTCTATTTGAAAAGTCTGAGCTTTAAAAATAAATTTTAACTATACCTCTCAATAGAAGTGTTTCAAAAGAAACATGCAATGTAAATATTTTGCCAGTGCATGGAATGCACTGTTCTTTGAAAAACTCATATTAAGAAATTGCCATTTCACACACAAGATCTGACAAAAGTAGAGGCACACATTTTCTGTGGTCTGAAAAACATTGCAGTTTCTGGCTCGGAGATTATAAAGAAAAATGGAAACAAAAATGTGAATGAAAACAAGAAAAAATATTTCCGCCTCTGCAGAGTAACAAGACAAGGAGTATTTCCTACTGTCCTTTAAACAGGAAAATTTTCACTCTTGATGTCACCCTCAGAAATTGCAGGCACACATTCATGACAATAACTTTCATAAGTGCAGCTGAAACAGCCATAAGCACTCTGTCAGAGCTGAGGGTCTTGCAAAACATGGATTTTTAATTTGAACACAAAACAAGCATAGTGAATATTTCTTCAGGTAAATCCAATTTAGAAATTTGGAATTTTGCAGATACAGAAGTTAGACAGTGGACTCTGAAGAAGCAAAAGCAGACCTCTCTAGAGATTTTGGGGGACTTCTGGGTTTGTCTTTGCCTTTTGTGCCTTTTGCACTGGAGACACCCAGATAAATGTTTCAAGTTTGATTTTAGAATAATGTAAATAAAATAAAAAAGTAGAGACATATCTTACCTGTGTAATTTCAGGGCCTTCTAGAGGAATAAAGGAATGGATATTGCAAAAGTTGGATGAAACATGGGATGCAGAGAAGTAAGCAGTCCTGTTTTACTTCACAAATCCTCAGAAAACTCTAGGAGTTACAGCTTCCTGCCAGTATAAGTCAGTTCTGCTTTTACTTTTGAAAACTCACAGTATGACACTGCTTACTGCATGCTATTTTGGGTGCCCTGAGTAAAACTATGAACACAGGCACTTTTGTGCAAAACATCATAAAGCCTCTCTGATGTTCATTCAGAGTCCAGAATTAAAATGCAGAAGGCTCTAGCAAGCAAAATACAAGCTGATTTTCTTCTTCCTAGTGGAAAAATAAAGTACTCTCTGGCAAGTAACCAGGGTGGTGGGAAGGTAATTTATTTTGTGTGAGAGCATTTTGCAAGTGAAAGGGATATGCCTTCTGTTTAGAGATTAGTCAGGGAAAAAAGTGGTCAATTTAGAGCAGTCACAAAAGTTAGTCAAAGAAGAGAGTTTCTATGGTCTGGGTTTTGCCCTCTGGCCATTTCTTTTCCACCAAATTATTTAGTTTCAAGAATCATACAATCTTCACACTGAGTTAAAAAAAATATGCCCAACATATTGGTTTATTTCCTTACATGTTTTTAGGGACATTAAATGAATGTTCTTGCTTTTGTTATAACTCTCTGTGAAAATTGAATTTTATCTACTAGCTAGTGTTGGGGTTTCATAGTCAAATGAAAAAATATAATAAAAATTAATACAATTTAAAAAACCCACAAAAATCACCTAAAAATATTGTGGAATAACTATGCAACAGGTAATAATTTTCCATAGACATCTTAAGTCAGTTTAGTAAATTTTGAGGATTAATTCAAATATTCATTGTGCCTTTAAAAAAATGAGGATATTTGGTGAGAAAACAAGAACTATGTATTGCAGTAAAACTTCAGCAATTATTATGAAAGGCATGTTTATGGTGGGATAATTTAGAACCTAGTCCTACATCAGTTATAACTCCAGGACAAGAAGCTTTCTGAGCACTCCTAAATAGGAAAAAAAAAAAAAGAGAATATATTTTTTAAGACATAATGGGTCCTGGTAATGATAAAACTAAAACTAAAAAAAAAGCTCCAAGCCACCAACCTCAAGAAAAATCTCTCTCCCTTTTTTTCTTCCTCATACAGTCTCAGAAAATTTCTATGTGGAGCTGGAAAATTTCTTTTCTGTACTCCTGTTGCATAATTATTTTTTTTTTTGGTAATAAAATACGTTATGGACAACTGTGGAGATCTTAGTCAGATGTTCAGAAATTTCATGAGCAGAACACAAGATATGGCAAATGAGGAAATGTGACTCTAGAATGGATAATGCTGTCAAACAACTGGGTGAGATCATGGTCTGCAAAGAGAACAGTTCTGGTTGATGCAGATGTGAAGTCTGGTGCCTTGGCTATTGTGGAATCCCTGTTTTATTTATTTACATGTAGATGTCAAAGTCAAATTGACTTCTATCAAACAAACACAAGCACCCCTAATATCACAGACTTTAAAACTTGAATTGAATGGGCTTGAAGTACTACAGGAAAACTGTCCACCTGTCATGCCCACAAGAATCACTTGTGAGTCTTTTGAGGATGATTTCCTGAAAACTTCTTGAAGATTATCTCATACTAATGACTTAAGTATAAGTAACATAATTTCAGTATCAGGCTGGAAATGAATACAGTTTATCAACTTAGAAACACTTTTAGCTTTAAGATGTGGATAGATCAGCTAATATTTTTTCTCAAATCAAAGCAAACATAATGTTATACAGGTTAAGGTTCTTTGACAATACTGTGTTTCTAGTACACATTATTTAATTATTCATGAAATTATCAAAACCAAGCTGACAGAGATTTTTTTCTGCTGGTCTTACCTCAGGTATTTTTTGTCTGTGCTAGAAAAAGCTTTTGTCTAAATCTTGACATTAGATTTGAGTAAGGGAATCAAAATTAACTAAGATCACATATTCATATCTTCTGCACATTTTATCAAGCTTCATTTTTTGTTCGCTTGTTTTAAGAAACAGGAATGTTTGGTGAGAGCTGGTGTTTAGTGAGAATGGTTACTTCTTACTCTTCATTCATGGTCTGACATCAGCTCTGTACAGATTGAGGTAGAGCAACCAGAAGAATGTGAAGAGGAGACGGACGTTCTCCTAAGCTCTGTGGAAACTGAAAAAGTGAAATTGGAATTTAGAAATATGTTGCCATCTACCACCTGGAAAAAACTGCTTTTTATGAACTACATTTCTCACTGACTTTCTACTGATAAAGAAGAGGTGATAGTTCATTCACCAAAGCAGAATTAACTAGACACAGATGAAAGAAAGGGCCAAACCTATTGCTGGCAGATGTCCTCTCAACATCCTCATTTACTGAAATGAAGATATCCTCATTTACTGAAAATGCTGGATCTTGTCACAGGATATAATCTAAGCAAGATGTGCCATGTGAAGCAAACATAAATGAGCCTTAGAAAGTAAACAAAAATAGAAATTTCTTGGAAATGCTTGTTAAAGAGCTGATGAAGATGGCTGGGCAGAACAATGGCCAGGTTTTTGACAAGGTGAAGACAGGATGCAGCTATAAGGAAAAAGCTAAAGCCAGTTGTACAGGCTGCACCTTAAAAAAGTAGTCTAATGAAGGCTAATTCACACAATTATGAGAAAAATTTTCTAACTCAGGAGAAAACACATACTTATTCCCAGTACAATGTTCTCATGTGATCAACAGTCTCTGCTTGTCTTTGTGTAGGCACCTTCTAATGATCACTAGACTTTTTGATATTAACATAGAGATGAAATAATTTTTGACCACCATCTATTAAGGAAAACTTTTACCTTTGTTAGCTCTTTCCTGATCTCACAGAACATGTTATTTCCTCCAGGGAAGAACCTTAGTTAAATGGAAGAGATCAGCAGAATAACTCTACTCATCACCTGAGCAAAATTTTCAGGAGGTTTGGAGTTGTTGAGTGAATTTTTATTCTCTACTAAATAAAAAAAAGGAATGTGTTTTTACAGAGAAAACAAGAACAAAAATACAGTTAACCTGTTTGGAGTATTTTCTTTCACTGTCTTTATCATAATTTAAAATAAGAGTTTAATCCATCCAAAACATGGAGCTTAAATTAGGTGTTTGCTTAGAGGTAAGAGCATAATAAATTTGGAATTAAAATATATATATATAATTTAAAACTTGCTTGCTGATCAGCCAATTATAACATGATATTTATTAACTTCTTTTAAATATAAACCTGAAATATAGTGTTCAATCATACTTTATGGATATATGTGTACATACTATAACAACTTGAAGAGACAGTCTTAAGAATTCAGTAGAGGTAATTACCTTTTATTTTCTCTTTTCTAAAGAAAACATATTCCATTTTTCAGAAACTGAACAAAAATAAAGGTGGAGAAACCCAAGAGAATTGTTTGTCTTTTTAAAAAACAAAGAACTCTGTAAATTTTTTAAAGGGGTCATTTTTCATTCAAGGAGATGCGTGCTTTGACATTTACCTAATTGGACTGAAGTAATAAGATTTCTCTCTCTTGGGTTCACTCAGTTCACTGATATCAGAATAAGTTGAATTTATTCAGTGAAGGAAAGGAAGTCGGGTGTGGAGAGGGACAGAAGGGGGATGATTCTCCCATACCACCTCTGTTCATCATAGCTGAGATCATGGCTCCTTGGAATTTGCATTTCGAATTTTCATCAAGTTAAAAAGAATTAATCCAGGGTAGGTAAAAGCCAGCACAACACTTGTGGAAAATGGAATTGCTGGGAAAATAGGAGGAGTTTCATTGCTCACAATAGCAGTGAAGCCTTTCAGAATATCTGTATCTCTGGATCTGTATCCCACAATTCAGTATAAGAATTGGTGGGATTTGTGTTATTTGTTTTGTTTTGTTTGTTCTTTTTTTTCGTGTTGTTGGCATCTTTGCCATTTTTATAAGGAGTTTTTAATGGGGATTTTGATATGCAGCATTTTCTAAAGCTAATCTTACTTATAACCTCTTCAGGGAGGTATAGCTTCAAGAGGAACCAAGTGGAATCAAGAGAGCACAGAAGTGAGACCTTGAGGTCTTCATAGGCTGAAATACAATAACTTTTTCTTTCACTCCTGAGAAGTCTCCTGTCACTATTCAAAATTAATATATGACGCTGAATGTTTTTGGGTTTTTTTTAATGCATCTTTTTTCCCCTCCCTTTCATCTTTAGTAATTTTGCAACTAGAATTCCATTCCCACTAAAGTATCTTACAAGTCACAGCTTCTGGAAGAGAAGATAGAAGTTACACATGAGACAAAAATGCATGGATTGATCTATTATACTAATGAGTGTCTTTTTAATTGAATTATCTGGAATTCATTTAAAAATAATTTTCTGTATTTTCTAATATTATTTTAATATTATTTAATGATAATCTTGTGCATTTTTTTATTTTCTCTGTAATGACTTTTTTTTTTTCCCAGAGGGAAAAAAGTTTAATGAATTGCAACAAAATATAATTACTTATGACTGTACTTATTGGCTTGTTTGAAAAGCCTGTGGAAATGGTGCAGAACCAGTCATTCAAAGAATCTGAATATCTTACTGTAATCAATGTTTCCAATGATATTTCCTTTCTCTTTTACTTTCCTTTACCCTTCCCTTTTCCTTTCCCAGTGAATATTGTTATGATAGAATACACTGTGTTTGGAAAATAATATTCAGATACTGATTATCTTTTTCCCCTCTGTTTCTATTCCCACCACAAGATAGAACCAAATAAGAATGAATTCAGAGCAGGTAAATCTTCTAGATGATCCCCTGAAAGAAATGGAGTTCTCTTATTGTCTTACAATTAAACAGTGTTTAGATATAAATTGAATGAAATAGGGGATGCTATCTCTTCTCTCTCTTTAGCCTGAGGTCTCATGCTGATGATCAGATCCTAAGAGCCTGAATTGGGCTGGTGTCTGTAAGTAAGTCGTGCATATTCTCCCTTCTCCTGCAGAGAAGACAGTGCCTATCATGAGATACAGATCATATGTAGTGCAGTGCAGAATTCAGCTGTGAATAACAGAATATGTAGAAGAATACCAAGATAAATATTTTTTCCATTTGTTTACATACCACTCATACACTTTTTCACATACATGACCAGTTGCCTACAAATGTAAGAGCCTTTCTACTTCAACATAAGTAGCAATATAAGTCTTAGTGCACCCATTTACATGTAGAAAAAAAAATAAGCATGAAAAAAGAAATATTAGAAATATCAAATGTATGTTTATGAAGAAAAAATATAACTGTGTCTGATCAGCCCAGTATCCTGCTGCATTATAATGTCCCAATTTGAAAATAAGCGTAAAATTAATACAAGAACTGGAATAGGGACTACAAAGCTGGGGCATTTATGGAAGAGATACTTATGTACAAATTTCAGTGGCAGAAAATAACTGTGTTGGATTAGTTCAGAAAAACTAAATTAAATTTTCTAAATTCAGAAATGTCAATGTGTTTTGGTTTGTTTTCTTTATTTTGTTTAATTAATCCTCATGACATTTCAATTCTGAAAATGAAAGAAATCAAATAAAACAAAATAAAATGAAGGATTCTAACCTGAAGAATTCCATAATGTCAACACTTCATCCCATATGCCCCCAGCTAAGCTTAAATGATAGCTTGGAAGGCAATTGTGTAAATTTTAAATCCTTTGAGATGAGCTGCTGAGTAAGGATCCAAC